ATTTCTCTTTGTATTATGAATTTTACTAAAATATCTTTTAATTTTATTCTTTAATCTCAAAACGACATCATTTTTTGGGTTGAAGGAAATAACTTTATCTCCTGTAATAAGAGAAATGTTAATCTCTTATATATTAGTATAATATAATTACTTTATACAAAACATAGTAATTTCATTAAATATTATATTTATTTAAAATTTTAAAATTTTAATTTTCTCAACCTATTGAAAGGCCTTCATGTAATTTATGCCTTCAAAAATATTTTCGGTTTAATCTATATTTTTATATGTTTTTACAAAAAGTGTCATGCATAAAATAGGCATTTATTTAGGTAAAACTTAACTTTACCTTACTTATTTCCTACAAGAAATAGTCACTCAAGTTTGTTGAGATATTCAAGTGTGATGAGTCTCACATTGGTTGGTAATGGACTAAGTGAAAAGTATATAAGTGGAAGGACCCATGAACCCACTGTCTTAAGGTTTTGGGTTGAGATATGGTGTTGGACTCACTTGATGTATTTTATCCACTTAGCTCATTGATGGTGGTCCCCCGCCACGGGCTTCCCCATAGACCCGTCTGACATTGGTATCAGAGCCGGAATAGGCTCGAGCTAGGCTGGTGATTGGTTACGAGGCGGGTCGAGTACTTTGGCCATGGGGTACTCGGTTGAGGAAGAGCATGCCAATGGTGGGTTTCACACTTGAGTGGGAGATCGTTGAGATATTCAAGTGTAATGGGTCCCAAATTGATTGGTAATGGGCTAAGTGAAGAGTATATAAGTGGATGGACTCATGAATCCAATGCCTTAAAATTTTGGGTTGAGATGTGGTATCGGACCCACTTGGTGTACTTAGAATAGTTTAACCCATTGATGGTGATCTCCCGCCACGGACTTCTCCTTAGACCCGCAGATAAAGTTGATCACAAACAAGAAAAAGTATAAAACAGGTAGTGGCAAGTTAACGACAAAAAAAATGCACTTCGTTTAGATTTGCATTTGACAGTTCAAACGTCGGTTTAGGACTTAAAATTTACCGTTGGTGGTATCAATGATGTTTGTTAAATTTTCTGTTTACTATTGTCATTGAAATTAAAGCTGCTCTAACCTTATGCAGCTTTTGTTGCAATTCCTCAATGGAAGCTTTGTTATAGATTTGGCACACAAGATAATTAATTGTTTCAAAAAAATAAAATAAAAATGGTGCCGTGTATTACCACTTATACTCCACGATAGGAAATAGCCACATGCATGTACATCCCTAGGCATAGACAAACCACCGTTTTACGAGCGACTGAGCGAGAGCCGTAGGAATGCTTGAAGTTTTCTTCTTCATTTTAATATAACGAGATTTATAACTTGCAATTACAGACTAATAGAAAAATCGAAATTGAACACAAAAAAATTAATACATCTTATATAAATAATGGTAGATTTCATTATAATTTTTTAATTTTATATTTCAATTATAAGATGAAAAGTTTTGTTTTTTGTTTTTTTGGTAGATTTCAACCAGTGTCTGAAGCCTTAACAAGTCTAATTAATCTGGTTTCTGGTTTGAGTCTTTCCACCCTTTTCAGAAATTACGACTCTCATTAGTCAAATCTATTATCTTTTGGGTAAGTCAAATCTTAAGATCTAATTGGATCACCACTGAACCAATAACATGGCTAAGATAAAACTTTCATGTTAATATAGTGTGAAAAAGAATTTATACTCAAAAGTTACAATTTAATATGGAAAAATATTTTCTCATGTTGTATGAGAATTCAATTCTCATATTGTGACTCTTCAATTTGCGTGCAAAGTTTTTTTTTTTTCTCTTTTTAATAAATGTGGGAATCACTAATAGTTGAGTCACAACATGAGAATTCAATTATGATGTAACATGAAAAAATTAAATCTCATTTAATATATAAAAACCAGTAGCAATTGCGGGTCATAAACACATGGGTTTGCATTTGTCATTTAACATGACATAACAAACTTTCCTACACACACAACATTTTGTGGGGTCCACACTTTTTGAATAAAAAGAAAAAAAGGAAATTACGGCATGCAAAACGAATCTCTATAACATTACAGAATCATTTTTCCTACAAGAGTTATAAACCCCATAAACAAATTAGATGATAAAAAAGGGAGGCGTTGGATCAATTAATTGGGTAACCCAAAATCAAGCGGCATCTTTTTCTCTCTTTTCCATGGATTGATTGCAAATTAGAAGATGCACTTCTCTTCCCACCGAAAGAAATGCAGAAAACCTTGACCATTCATGTGAACATCCTTATCACGTGATACTTATTACGGTTTTCTGATTGGCTCCATGACATGCCAAGCTTCATTAAAAATGTTGGCGTGCAAACCTACTACATCCCCACCCTTCTCTCTCTTTTGCTATCTCTTGCTAGTCACTCGTGGCCTTCAACTTGGTTGGCTGCTCATGTGACTCTGATCTTCTCATGTCCGTGACTTTGTTGCTACGGACAAATTACACTTCTCCGTAACACTTACAATTCTCAAAACACACTGTGCCTTAAATTTTGGTACCCGGTATACCCGATTTCTAACAAGTGTAAGTCCAACTTCCTGGCGTAAGTTACGCCAACAGTAACAGCACAACAGTAATAACTATATTCTAATGTAACGTGCATAGGTTTAGTGTTTTTATAAAAGGATGTAAAGTCATCTCTTACCACCAAAATATAATTTTGGCGTTTGAAAACAAAAATATAGTGTATTATCAATAATTTTGTGTTCAAACCCTATAAACACTGGCGGAGCCACTCCTATGCCAGCAGGTGCCAAGCTTGGTTTTAAAAAATTTATTTATTATATGTAAATATATAATTAATTATAATTAACAAAGATTAAATTTATAATTTGGCACCACCTAAATAAATATAATTATATTTATATTTTTCAATCAGAAAAATAAAATCCAATACCCAAATCTTTTTACCTGACCCATAAATTAAAATCACTTTCAAAGTCCTAATTTGTGACTTACAATTGCAATCAGATTTCTCTCTCTTGCTCCTTTTTTCATCTGACTTGTTGCACAACTTGCTAGCTCTGCGAGACTTCGATTGAAATAGCAATGGCTTACGAAATTAAAAGATGGAAGAATCAAACAAAAATATATTTTGTAAATAGAAAAGTATAATGAAGGAGAATCCCTTTGACTCTAAATGTTGTCCGTATGCTTTAATTTATAGTTAATATCTCAATTATAAAGTAAAATTTATAAAAGTATTATATTTGTGTGTTTTCATATCCTTATGACAATGCTTGGTTCATTACTTATCATGCTATGGGAAGAAAGTGAAATTCTTATGTTTGAAATGCTTACCCAAAGGTTAGTGTCTTTTTATATGTTTGTTTTGATATGTAATCATTTAGAAAAATATTTCTGCACTTAATGCATATAAGTTATCTACATTTACTCTCAAAATAACGTCGTTTTGGGATTGAAAAATTAATAAATTATAATTATAAAGACTATAATAATCCTAGAATAAAATAAAATTACAAAATACCATGATTTCCGTCCCAAAACGACGTTGTATTGGGCTTACTGCAGATAACTTATCTACAATGACTACAGAAAAAGCGAACCCATAATCATTAACGATTGTTCATTTGAATTTTTAATGTTATCTGATATTATTTAATACATAATTTAAATAACAACGCTAGAATTCATAATAATTTTTTTTGATTAATTTGTATAATTACGATAAATATCTTGATAATTTAATATGTTAAATTTTTTTGGCACCACCTAAACTTTTGGTCTGGCTCCGCCACTGCCTATAAATGGAGAAAATAATTTTGAGAGAAAAACCTCTTAAATGAGTATGATAGTCTTCGAATCAGATTAGTTGTTTATTGAAAAAAAAATTATATTAAAAGAGAAAAACAAAATTTTTCAAAATCTGTGTATTTTTTTATTTTAAAATTTCAAAACGATATCATTTTGATTGTATGTACTTATTTTATTTCACGTGACAATATTTTTCCCTTTATTATAGCTATCTATCTATTTTATTTTTATGAAAATGGCCTTTTCTTATCTTCAACTATTCAATAAGAGAAGAGTTATATTGAGAAACTTTTTTTTAATAAACTTATAAATTACACTATGTCTTACCAATCAGACTTCACAAAAGTGTCTTTAAGATATAGTGTAGTTTATATGAATTTATAAATAAAAAATTTGTAAATATAACTTTTCTCGTTCAATAATAAGAGCACGTTTGTTTCGCCTTCCAGAAAAAGGAGTTTTTATCTCTTCCTTATTTTAATTTTTTTTTTTATAAAAGTTAAAATTATTTATATTTTTATAAAGGGTTTGTTTTTCTGCAGTTACTGCATATAAGTTATCTGCAATAAGCTCAATACGACGTCATTTTGGGGGCGGAAATCATGGTATTTTGTAATTTGAATTTATTTCAGCGTTATTATAGTCTATACAATTATAATTTTTTAATCTTTCAATCCTAAAACGACATCGTTTTGGAAGTAAATACAGATAACTTATCTGCATTAACTGCATAAATATTTTTCTGTTTTATAAAAATATTTAATTTTTGAAAAAAATATTTGACTTTTGACTTTTTTTTTTTTTTTTTAAATTAAAATTTTTAGCTTCTAATAAAGGTAAATTTTTGACTTTTTTGTGACTTCTATTTTTTTAAGAAGCATAAATCTAAACGAACTTAAAAGTGAAAACTGCTTCTTCTTTTTTTCTTGAAAAAAAGTCATCCAAACGAGTCTAAGAATAAAATATGTGATGGTTAGACTTTCTAGTTTCTAGTATCCCGGTTTGGCGCAGTTGATCCCGTGACCAATGAGCATTAACGTCCAATTAACCAACCTTCCAACTTCCCTACTTCTCCGTCGCATATAAATACGACACATTTCCACGTTATAACCCCTCACTTAATATTCTCTGAAGCCTCTTAAAACTGTCAGTAAACGAAAAAAAACCGTTACATGACAAAAGGGATGGCTTCAACCACCACATTTTTACTAATGTTACAGTTTCTGTTCCTAGTTTTTTGCTCATTCTATAAACCAAGCTTTGCTTTCACTTCACAAGAGTACTATGATGCTCTTGAGAAATCCATTCTCTTCTTTGAGGGACAAAGATCTGGAAGATTGCCTTCCAACCAACACCTGACATGGAGGGGAGATTCTGGATTGTTCGATGGCTCTTCTTATCATGTATATAAAATTTTAAACTAAAAAATTAAACTTCCCAATTTTGATTTCATTACCATAAGTTATAAAAAAAAATGTTCTTTGCAATTTGTATTCAGAGTTTTAGTGTCTCTATTGGTTTATCTTGTTCAGGTGGACCTAGTGGGTGGTTATTATGATGCTGGAGATAACGTTAAGTTTGGTTTTCCAATGGCGTTTACAACTACATTATTAGCATGGAGCGTTATTGAATTTGGAAGCTCAATGCAGAACCAGATTGAAAATGCTAAAGCTGCTATCCGGTGGAGCACCGATTACCTTCTCAAAGCAGCTACCACCACCCCTGACACATTATATGTCCAAGTGAGTAACAATTAACTTCTATCACATTTTTATGCTTATATAACATCACATATAAACCGTGAGAAATATTTATGGTACTATTGTTGTACCATTCATTCAGTGCATCTATTCAATAAAAAATTAGAAATGATTGTCATGTTTGTACGGAAAGGAGAGAAAAATATTTCTTTTATCCAAGTGTCACTTGTTGAATGACAGATGTACCTACTTCATATGCACAGAAGATGATCTCGGAATAGTGACCTAAAATATCACCTTTTTTGAAAAAAATTGTCAAAATATCATGCCAATATTACTTTTTATCAGACTGCCACCTGTCATTGTGAACTTAGTTAGGCCACGTGTCACTTTCCCATTAGCCTACCAAAGTGTGCATGTGGTCACTTTGATTCTTTTAATTTATTACTTTACTTCTTTTAAGTTATCTTGGGTTTAAAAGAACTAGAAAAGGAATAAATATAGTAATAATTTGATTCTTTGCAGCCATAGTAAGAAATAGTAGAGTAGAGAAAATAAATTTGTAAGAGCTGAGGGGATTCTGGATTGGATTATGGTGCAGGTAGGAGACCCAAACATGGATCACCGGTGTTGGGAAAGGCCTGAAGATATGGACACTCCACGCAATGTGTATAAGGTATCAGCACAAAACCCAGGTTCGGATGTAGCAGCAGAGACAGCAGCTGCATTGGCAGCTTCTTCATTAGTATTCAAAGATTCGGATCCCAGCTATTCCTCTAAATTGCTTCAAACAGCCATTCAAGTAATAAAAATGCTTTCGTTTTTTATATGAATTTTATTGCTTTCGCAATTTTGACCTGAACCCAATGTTTATTCAAGAGTTATTTATTTAAGAATGGAATTTCCGATTTTGTATTACAGAATAACATAAATTATTAAAAAGGGCATCACCTAACAGCTTAAATTTTTAGGTTGAATTGACTATTTACATGATATTAATTAGAGTGTGCAATATATACGCTTTTGGAGTGTGTTAGAGAATAATATAGGCCATCACTGAATAGCTTAAGCTTTTGGATTGAATTGGTTGTTTACGAAATTCAATCTCTCTCTGCAACTTGAACCCGTTAATTGGGTCATATTCATGTTCTAATGTCAATGTTATATATTTTTGCAGGTATTCAATTTTGCAGACCGTTACAGGGGCTCTTACAGTGACTCACTTAATTCGGTGGTGTGTCCATTCTACTGCTCTTACTCTGGATACCATGTAAAGACACATCTTCTTCAACTTAATTGCATTATTGTTTTGAAACGAATCACATGCGTTACTGAATTTGTTATTGTAAACAGGATGAGCTTCTATGGAGTGCATCATGGATTTACAAAGCCTCGGGAATTAACTCATACGTGCAATATATACAATCAAATGGACACATATTAGGCGCTGATGATGATGTTTACTCCTTCAGTTGGGATGACAAACGTGCTGGAACAAAAATCCTGCTTTCCAAGGTACCCACCCACCCTTGTAGCTCTGTTTAGTCTCTGACTCAATGTTATCACACATAGATCAAATAAAAGGTTTATTTTGCATGGGCATGGTCATAGGAATTCTTGGAGAAAGACTCTGAAGAGTTCCAATTATATAAGGCACATGCAGACAATTACATATGTTCACTAATGTCAGGAACACCTGGTTTTCAGGCTCAATACACCCCAGGTTAGCAATCTGAATATTCTATTGTATTGAGAAGGCAAAGAAATAAAAGTGACATTTTAGTAAAATTTTACTGAACTTTAGTACAATAAAACAAAAATCAATATGCATACCTCTAAAATGGATAAAGAAAAAAAATTTACAATAATTTTGATTTTGAACATATTATTATCTTTTATGGTCACAATGTATTTTCAGTCACTTTTGTGTGAATTTGGTAAGTTTAACATAAATTTAAATTAAAAGTAGACAAAGTCACTAAGATTGGTCTAATGATAAGGGACTTGGGTAGGTTACATTAGTTTATATATTCAATTCTCACTTGTTTCCAAAAAAAAAATTAAGAGTGGGCATGGTTCATTCCTAGCTGAACCGAATCAAACTGATTTAAACCGGTTCGCTTTCAAACCTAATTGTTTTTATTTTTTCCAATGCGATTATATGAGATTTGACACAATTGAATTTCTAATAAAATTAAATTAAATTGTCACAATGTATTTTTGCAGGGGGTCTTCTGTACAAAGGAAGTGCAAGCAATTTGCAATATGTCACATCAACCGCCTTCCTTCTCTTAACATATGCTAAGTATCTCAACTCAAATGGAGGTGTTGTCTCCTGTGGGACTTCAACAGTAACGGGAGAGAACCTCATAAAACTAGCTAAAACACAAGTTGATTACGTTCTGGGTAATAATCCAAAAAAGATGTCTTATATGGTGGGTTTTGGGGAGAGTTATCCAAAACATATCCACCATAGAGGTTCATCTCTACCTTCTGTTCACGTGCAAGCTCAACATATTTCATGTAACAACGGGTTTCAATACCTCGATTCAGGTTCCCCCAATCCAAATGTCCTTGTCGGAGCCATAGTTGGTGGTCCTGATAGCAATGACAATTTCTCTGATGATCGAAATAACTATCAACAGTCAGAGCCAGCAACTTACATCAATGCACCTTTTGTCGGTGCTGTTGCTTTTTTCTCTGGCAAAGCCACAAGTTAGCAATAAATACATGTAAAACTTAAGCTTAATTAAAAGAATCTTACTACGGTCTGGGTTACACCCATATAGGTATATGATGCATGGTCCAAAACCCCCACTCATTTTCCGTCAAAGGTGTTACTTCAACATGTGGTTTGGTTAGTGAAAAATTGGTTTTTATCACATTATGTGCGTATCATCTCCTACATGTAATCGATCGGTTAAATTAAGTTGAAAGTTTCTATATTATTTGTGAATTGTAACTAAGTTTTTGAGTTTCCAAAGTTTTTAATTGAGGTTGGATATATACAGACATAAATACTTAATATTGTTAGTAAGGAAATCAAACATCATCGTCAAATCTTAGAAAGTTTCATTTTTCAATAATGATCTTACAACAATGCTTCCACCAATTTATATCGATGGTGAATAGCAAAGAAAACAAAAACTATACACCAATGAAAAGAGTACACATTAGCAAATAAAATAACAAACTAACTATAACATATGGAACTGACTAACTAACATCTGGAACTGACTTAACAGAAAGACGGTTAGGAGTTTTATCCTTGTGCTTGACTATCATCAATAGCTTTGCTAATTTGCTATCAGTATTAGTTCCAGAGTATGGTAACATCCCCCTGCAATTGGGATTGTGGATATTCATAAGTCCCAACTTGGAAGTAGCAGTCTGAAATGCAGTGGCATACAAAGCTTTGGTGAAGACATCAGCTATATGATTTAAGGAAGATATAGGCAGTGAATGAATGAGTCCGCTGATTACTTTTCCACGAACCACATGACAATCCAGCTCTACATGTTTAGTACGTTCATAAAAAAAGGATTATGTGCAAGATATCTAGCAGATGCATTATAACAATAGACAGATATAGGCTCAGATATGGGAAAGCATAGATCATTAAGTAAATAAGAGAGCCATTGAAGCTCACAAGAAATGCTTTCCAAAGCATTATACTCAGCCTCACAAGATGATCTAGAAATTGTTGTTTGCTTCTTTGATTTCCATGAAACAAGGGCAGACCCAAGGAAAACACAATTCCCAATTAAGGATCTACGAGTGTCTGGGCAACAAGCCCAATCCGAATCAGAAAAGCTAGAAAGTTTCAAGTTGTTTGTCGAGGGAAAAAAGATACCAACACCAGGTGAGTTTTTGATATAACGAAGGACTCGTAAATCTGCAGTTTGATGCACATATGTAGGAGCAGCCACAGACTGACTTAGCTGCTGAACCGAGTATGAAATGTCAGGTCTCGTTATTATAAGGTATAGAAACCTCCCCACAAGACAACGATATGAGGAACATGCAAAGGAGTCCTTATAGAATGCCCAAGTTTAGAAGAGGCATCCATTGGTGTAGAAATTGGTTTTGCAGCAAGTAAACCACTATCACTTAGAAGCTCTAAAACATACTTTCGCTGATTAAGTATGATTCCCTTCCTTGAACGAGAGATTTCAAAGCCAAGGAAAAATATGAGTGACCCGAGGTCCTTAATGTGAAACTGCTGATCAAGGAAAGTCTTAACCCGTTTAATTTCAGCAATGTCGTTTCCTGCTAAAACAACATCATCTACATATACTAGAAATTTAATAAAAAGAGAACCACGTTTAACAGTAAATAGAGAGTGATCAACTGAGGATTGAACATAGCCAAGGGAAGAAAGGGCTAAGGTTAATTTTGAATGTCATTGCCTACTAGCTTGTTTGAGGCCATAAAGAGATTTCAGCAACTTACAAACTTGATTTGGCTTCTCACTAACAACACTAGGCGATAAGACCATATACACATCTTGATGGAGGCCCCCATGCAAAAAAGTGTTATTAACATCCAATTTCTTAAGGTGCCAATCATTGGTAGCAACTAAAGCTAGCAAGATCGTCACCGTTGTCAACTTAGCCACTGGAGAAAACAACTCAAGGTAATCAATGCCTTCAACCTGAGTATAGCCCTAGGCAACTAGCCTTGCCTTGTGCCTTTCAATAGTGTCATCCACATTATATTTTGTTTTATAGACCCATTTGCATCCAATGGGTGTTGTGCCCTCTAGGAGATCTACCAACTTCCAAGTGTTATTCAAAGCTAGAGCTTTCAATTCTGCATCCATGGCATTTTTCTTGTAATGATGTTTGACAGCCTGACTATAAGAATTTGGATCCACCTACAATGAAACATCAAGACAAAATTGTTGAAATTTGGGAGAACAATGGTTATAAGTGAGGACATCATGTAATGGATATCAAGTGGAGCAAGAGGATGCATGGGAAGTATTACAATGAAAGTCATGGAGATAAGTGGATAGATGTTTATATGTTATCCGGTGGAGCACCGATTACCTTCTTAAGGTAGCCACCACTACCCCTGATATGTTATATGTCCAAGTGAGTAAACATCAACTTCTATCACATTTTTATGCTTACATAACATCACATATAAACCGGAACAGTGACCTAAATGCCACGTTTTTAAACAAAAATTGTCAAAATGTCACGCGAACATTACTTTTTTATCAGACTGCCACGTGTTTAAGTTCGCGATCTGTCATTGCAAACTTGGCAATATATATATATATATATATATATATATATATATAACCAGATACAATTCTATGGCTGTTTGGACAATTTTGAGGTGTTTGATGGGTTATTTGAGCATTTGGATGGGTATCAGATCTTGTGTCTCAACACAAGTTTACCTTTTATACGGAGATGAATAATCATAGCTAGATCCTTAAGGATAATAATAACTTCTTCATGAAACATCTGAAATGTATTAAGTCTATGTTCTCCACTACTGACTAAAGCTGTGATCAATGAACTATTAAGTTGAAAATGTTTGGCCGCGGCACTCCTTGATCGGAACTAACCATCCATTACGAAACATTTTTCCAACCTTACCAAATAAGTGAAATAAATGCCTATAATTTTACCCCTAATGAACAGCTGATAGAAGACATACAAGCCAACCATTATCATAACATTAAGTATTCTTTATGTAAATGACTAACAAATGTAAGCAAACATTAAATGAACTAAAAATATTAATTAATGTTTTATAGTTGAATACATACATAATATTGGTAAAAAATTGTCATGCTAACCCTACCCTATCTTTTGCAATGGGTATGAGAAACTATATTTTTTTTTATAATTTACAATTCTTAATCATAAGTATCAATTGACGAGTTGTGAAATAATTAAAAATGAATACAGAGGATATTTAACTAGGCAGTTTAACTTTATTATCTTCTCACATGAATTAAAACTTACACTAACATGCATACCAATTATAGTTCAATATATTGAAACTTAAAATAAATAGATCACTTAATAAATAGAATGAAATACATCTGGAATCATACTTAACTATATTAGACTAATTTTTTAATAAAATAAAAAATAATAGTTAATTATATTTCAATAGACCAATCAGGAGTGAGTACGTGTGTATACGGTCAGCGAGGTTAGGATCCTGCATGAGGATAAAGAAGCATCTAGAGTACGTTTCATGGTGTGTTTAATTGATTGTGATTTTTGGTGTGCGAGAATGAGGGTGTATAGTACAATCTCTCTATTTAGTTGTTATGGGTTGTCTTGTTTGGAGAACAACGAAGCTAGTGCCTAGTGAAGTAATGATAGTGTCAATGGTGTCTACCTTGTAAACAAACTCCTCTGGACTTAATAGGAGATGTCTACAGAGCCTAAGGTTGCTGTCGAAATTGAAGGTGAAGAAGATATGCTGATTTTGCAAGAAAGTACAGGGCAATTTTGTGCTAAATTAGTTTAGTTCTTGTTTAATCTATTTACGATATGTATTGGGTACTTGTTGTGATACATTAGTCAAATTTTTTATTATAATTGTTCCCACAAAATTAAAATCGATTGGAAACTAATTTGTATTTCATTAGAAACTATAAATAGCATTTGAAACATAGAAAAATAGAATTGGCACTACAAGGTAAGGAACTAAGATCAAAATAGAAATTACAAGTAGTTTGAATTAGCCCTTAAAACTATTACATAGCTGGAACCACATCTCATGTTGGAACAACCCAAATAGGAGGTGGACTAATCCTATCTACACATGGAGTGAAGAGCTTGACAATTCTGTCTTCAAGACCAAAAATACCCCAATCATGACCACCATAAGACCAATCCAAATCCTTCTCTTCCAACCCATCATCTGTGAAATAAATGGAGTTTGCTTAATATAACACCTTACATATTTGAAATGAATTATTAATAATTAAATTATGGGTTAGAGGGTTTATTTAGCGAAAATCTTAAAATTCGGGTGAAAATACATGCGAAGGGTAAAATGGTAATTTGGAAAATACGTAACCCTAACCTATGAAATGATAAATTTTGACTTTATTTGATGAAACTAATAATGGAATTGGATTCAAAACAAAATTTGGAATGAATAGACACTTTTCAGGAAAATTGATGAATAATGATTTTTATCGGGTAAAATACTGCGATACAATTTTACCGGAAAACTCAGAAATGAGATTACTATCCTATGAATGGATATATGTTGAAAAAGGTAATTCCTTCCAAGAAAAATAATTTTTGAATTATTTGGTGAATTTTGGTGGTTTTTGGGGAAACGTGCTGAAAGTACATAACTAAGAGTAAAATCATAATTTTACGCAATTACCTAGAAATTTCAGATTCATCTATTATAGTAATTTTAATGGACTTTGATGAATGTTAAAATTTTGATTTAAGAGATGATCCATGAGTTAATTGGAGATTAGTGTGGTATGTGATTGGTTTAAGTAAGGATTAGTTTAGTAATTACACATATGAGACCCACCTCACTTAAGTGACTAAATGAGCACATGTGAAATCAGAAAATTGAACTCATCTTCCTCCCTTTTCTCTCTCAAAATTGAGCTCCCTCCATGGTTGGTGAAAAATAAAAACTTGAAAATTTCAAACAAACATAACTTGAGTTCTAGCCACCAAATTTAGTGATTCCAAAGCCAAACTAGTGTAAAATC